GTACAAAGTTACTGACAGCTAGTTCAAAGCCACTAACAACTAATAAAATCATGCATCTAAGACTAAATTATCAATCCGTACACATTCATGTTTGTTTTGTTCACACATCGTCGTCAATATAATGGAATTTTATGCGACTGTCATACATGTGAGAGGTCAAGCTGGCTATAAACCAGGTTTAATCCACCATTTTCTACAGAAAACAATGTCTGTACCAAGTCAGGAATATGACAGTTGTTATCCATTCGTTTGATGTGTTTCAGTTTCAGTTTTTGATTTTGTCATTTGATTAGGGACTTTCCGTTTAGAATTATCCTCGAAGTCCCGTATTTTTGTTATTTTGCTTTTATGATTTAAATAGTAACTGCTCTTTCAAACTATCTTTTGAGATAATAATTACAAAAACAGAAAGCGCTGCTTCTGTTTCACATAGATTATTTTCTCCGTATGTCCATGATTGACTCTGTCGACGATATCGTGAGCGGCATCACTTGTAAAATTTGTAAAGACGTCTACTTAAAGTTGCAAAACGTATCAGCTAGTCAAAAAGTAATTTTTGTTCTACTTTTTTTTTCTACTTAACTATATATCTGTTGTTTTATTTTGAACCAGATGAATAAAAGGAGATGTGGGGTTATACGCCCATGCTATAGTATCCTAACTACAAAACTAACCAAACGATATCAAGAGGACACAATAAGTCTTCAACCATCCACGAAACTTTGGTTTATAAACTATTAGTAAAATTAATATAAAAATTAAAAAAAAAAAATAAACACAAGTTCCGAATTTAAATAAATGAAAAATCACAATTCCGAATTAGAATGAGGCCGATTTAATGTCAACTTTTATCAATTATTATTACGAACGAATAGAAATGACTATGTTCTTGTAATATTGTATACATTGGTTTTCTCATTTATATTTTTTTTACATATAATTTTGTCGGAGCCTTTTATAGCTTGCTAAGAGGTATGGATTTTGTTCATTGTTGAAGGCCGTACGACGACATATAGTTGCTTACATCTACGTCATTTTGGTCTTGGATGGATAGTTATCTCATTTGGCAATCAGACCGCATGTACTTAATATATATAATACTACATTGAATGTGCGTATATATGTCCTTTTGTATTCCAAATAAAACGATTTAAAAAAGAGTATTTCAATATATATAATGTCTGTTTATTTTGATCGTTACTCTTCCTTCATTCACGAATAGAATCACATAACTGAACCATGTTCAACATGAAATAAACCATGACACGAATGACCTAAACCATGACACCGAATATTCTGTAATCTCAAATTGTGTGCAGTAGGGGCTGTTTTTCGGGAAAATTGACGGCAGTTTTACATCATAACAAAATATGTGATGTAGCAGACAGTAAGCAAACCACTTTTCTTTATGCATTAGAAACGAATCACAACTTTTAAATTTTGACATACGCAAGCATTATTCTGTGTCAAATTAATAACTATATGATACAAATTTTGGTGTACTAACATATTAGCTATAAACAAAGATACTTACCAGCTTGAATTTGTTGTCATTAGTTCATTTAACAAACTATTCGAATGTTTAAATTTTGACACTGTTTGTCACCAAAAACACTTAACACAACCATGTTAATCTTAACCAAACTATGACAAAATCACTGTACTAAACGCTTCTCGATATGACGAGGTTACTACCCGTGTGTAGGGATATGAACATATTTCAAGCTATTTTACCATCAATGAATGGTATGTAGGGGGCAGGACATGTCCCTCATGATAAACTAGAAAGGCAATTAAGATTAAATATGGGTTAAGGATGGAGTTCTGAACCCTTTTTCTAGATAAATCTAAATAACATCATTATTTTATGAGGGACGGGGCATAACCCCCAGGGACAAACCCTTAGCTGCACTAAAAAAGGTCTTGCACATTCTGTGGCCTATGATCATGAATTGCTTACTACCACTTCATTTTAACTGATGTGGATAGTTGTCTCATAAGCAATCAGTCCACATCTCTTCATTTTCATATTGACATGGCAAGAAAGAATATGTTTGGTTTTAGGGTGACATATGAAATTAAATATTTGACCTTGACTTTTTATTTGACCTTGAAGGTCAAAGATCAAGGTCATCATCCATGGAATGTGACACATGATATTGAGGTGCTGCACTTGTGTGTCAAGTATGAAAAGACTTTGCCAAGGGAGAGGAAAAGGTGTGCTCCAGATAAGAAAATGTAAAAAAATCAAGTATTTTGACCTTGAGGTCAAAGGTCAAGGTCATTTGACGGTTTTGATTTTTATGATTAGATGAGATACACTGTCTTATTGTAATACATCTTCATGCCAAATATCATAAGCCAGTGTCAGAAGATAAATAAGTTTTCATGATTAAATACACGGATTATTGTGAAAAATATGTGAAAATTACACAGTTTTATTCTGTTGCCATGGTAACGGTGTAGGAGACCCCAGCTCAAAAATCATAAAACTTGTAGCACACATGTAAACCTTTATCGAAATATTTAAAACATTAAAAAATGCATTGTACTTTACAAGATTTCCTATCTTTTTGTTGACCTTTCTAGGAAGTATCTAAAAAATGTCCAAAATGCCCTTTTTGTTGAGCCTTCGACTTTTGTTGAAAAAGCGAGACATAGCGATCCTACATTCAATCGTCTTTGTCGTTGTTGTCGTCGTCGTTGTCGGCAGCGGCGTCCACAAATATTCACTCTGTGGTTAAAGTTTTTGAAATTTTAATAACTTTCTTCAACTTTCCTGGATTTCTACCAAACTTGGACAGAAGCTTGTTTATGATCATAAGATAATATTCAAAAGTAAATTTTGTAAAAAAAAAAAATCCATTTTTTCCGTATTTTACTTATAAATGGACTTAGTTTTTCTGCCAGGAAACATTACATTCACTCTGTGGTTAAAGTTTTTGAAATTTTAATAACTTTCTTAAACTATCCTGGATTTCTACCAAACTTGGAATGAAGCTTGTTTATGATCATAAGATAGTATCCAGAAAGAAATTTTGCTAAAATTTTGTTCCATTTTTTCCATATTTTACTTATAAATGGATTTAGTTTTTCTTCCAGTTAACATTACATACAGTCTGCAGTTAAAGTTTTTAAAACATTTTTTAGATTCATAAACTATCCTGGATTTTTACCAAACTTGGACAGAAGCTACTTACAATCAAAAGATAGTATAGAGAGAAATATTTTTATTAATTTTTTTCCTCATTTTTGTTGAGCCTGCGATTAAGAGCAAAAGTAGGCGAAACACTGGGTTCCGCAGAACCCTTACAAATTTTTAGACCGGTCAGCCCCAAAATATAGCTATACTCAAGCAAAAACATTTTGTCAAGTTTCGAAGGACGAATGATGCTTGTTATAAAATTCAACTCAAATATCAGCTAATATAACAATATCTAGCATATTCAGAGTAACAAAATTGTGACATTTTTGTGGAAATTTTGGGAAATTAAGCCTTTTCCAATAGATGGCACTGCAAATCTAAAATAAGCCTTAAATCAAACTTTAAAGCTAGATTTTTTTCTCTCTTGACTATCATAACATATGTGCAAAATTTCATTACATTTGGTTGACATGTCATGTGGACCCACTTATAAGCCTTTTGCATGGTTCTATCAAAGACTGGGTGTTAAATTTCTTAGTCATCTTGCATTTATTGTCCAAAGGTTATGTGGCAAATCAAGAATATTTGTAGCCCACAATTCAGTAAGCCAGTTCCCACAGTTAAACACCCTATAGTTCATGTCATGATGTACCAAATTTGTATTCTCCCTCTTTCGTGGAAAAAGTGAACAGATATAAGACTGACTCTTCCATCTGCTTAAGACAGCATATCAAGAACATTGACTTCGGCTCTTACGATACATAGACAGAACAAGCAGGTAGATGATATATATGGGTCGCGCGTATATCTTCGCAGTAGAAGACAACAGCTTTCGATGACTATATATGTACATAAAACTTCTTTGTTGAGCATCGTTTTAGATTTGGATATCTACATGTAACACAAATACAAAAATATATATCAAGTAATGGAATAAATTACTAAAATGAGGTATAGTCATGGAACATTTTGATTTTTCATGCTATTTCAATAAAAATTCATTTCTTTTCAATAAATCATTTTGAGATTATTTCTTGATAAACTTTTACATGTTTTATGAAATTTTCACAGTTGAAGGAGAAATGTTTGACTTTTCCTTGTTTATTTATAGATTGTTTTTGTTGAATAACTTTTTAATGTTCTAAATCAAACACAGATAAAAATAATTACGTAACATTTTCGGGTTATATTCAACCAAAAAAAAAAATATTTTTGTTAATATTTTAATATATTTAAGGAATGACTGTAATATTTTTTCTGTCTATGAAGAAATAACATCAAAAATGTGGTGCACACTGAATAACCCGCGTAGCGGGTTATTTTAAAGTGTGCACCACATTTATTATGTTATTTCGAATAGACAGAAAAAATATTACAGTCATTTCTTATAATTTAATTCTAAATTCTATTTTAAACTGGAGTACACCATGAAAAAACATTGATGACGTCACGGTCACATTACAAAATTATGTCTATGAGCTGATAAACAAAACACACCAGCCGATCAGAAGACGTGTTACATCCAAAATTAAATTATATGATCTTAAAACAATACCCCTTTGTACAATATTTTAGTTAAGAACTGATACAGGTGAATTACAGGTAAATATCAAGATGCCAATCCTTAAGAGGACCCCTAAGAATCCTTAATGTTGTTTTAGTCTAATTATCAAATGTTGGAGAAATGTGAACAAACCAGCATGTTATAGATTTAACCGACTAAACAGCCAGTAATGTGTACAATGTTTATGAATGCAACTAGGATTGTAATGGGAACACACACAAATCTTATATATTCTGTATGAATTGACTGCTGTATATTTTATATATCCTAAACCTTTTCATGATTTAATACCTAAAGCTTTTGAGTTTTTCAACAGATTTCTGGTATAAGGATTTTTAAAATAATACTGTTTGAAGTCAAATGGTCCATCATGATTATGAAGGAGATCCGCAAACAGTATCTCCAATCTCTGACATTTTAAGTGCCACAAACTCTGAGATTCAATGGCAGTTTTCCACTCTCTGTTTACCCTACTGCACACAAGTAGCAGATCTTTTCCTGGAAGAAACGACAGAATATTTTCAAAAACTTCCTTGGGTAATTCGGTTAGAGGAAATTCTTCCTTCTCCATCTGGCCTCCCATCATTTTAGTGATCAAAGTGAAAGCAAAAGTCACTTTTTTTTAAGTGGGGCTAAAACAGGTACTACAGCTAAAAAGATTTTTTTTATTAAAAATTTATTGACTATAAAAATGATTGAAGCCACACTCTTCAAACAAATTATAAAAAGAAATTCAAATGTGAATAAATCACAAGGAGATCTGGAAGTCAATAGGAAGACCCAAGAAGTAAAATATCGGACTAGTGATTATTAATTTAGATAAAAATATTTAATGATTGTTTACTTCCGGATCGAAAATGCTTGATCAACTGGCACAAACATATGATAATTATGATTGTACCTTTTTAAGAGTATACAATAAATAGGTAAGGCCAGATCCACAAACAACTATTTTATTTAATGAATCCCCAGTTAACATCTGGTTACACTTGAATGTAGACTTTCAGCGTTATCATTAAAAAGACATTATGAAAATGATTATTTAATCACGATATTCATTTTCATTATGATAAAGCATATACATGTATCATTGTATGTCACTATAAAAAATTATGTATAAGCAAGGATTTGTATTTGTTACTATACAAATCATTGGTATAAGGAATAAAAATATAAGTGCCTATAAATAGAAACACATAACATACAAATCTATTTGAGTGTTGGTTAATCAGTACAACAGTACAAAGATTAGTACAATTACACAAATAAAATTATAAATTGCCAGCTTCTTCTGCTTCTGCCAGATAATGGCCACAATCAACAAACTGATTATACTGCCATGGTTTGGTGCGCATATAAGACCATCCCCCTCCCCCCAAAATTTTAAAATTTAATTCAGCTTTGTCATCGAGGCTTTAAAGGCCTCGACTGACGGTGCTGATACGACCCCAGGAGGAAGAGCGTTCCAATCTCGGATGGAACTAACAATAACACTATTTCGTATATAAATATTAAAATGTTAAAAATATTTACAATGCGATAAAAAATAAACGCAATATTTCCCAAGACAAACTTAAGCTTCATCGAGCGTGCATCTATCAAGGTGAAATGGGATGCAGATATGAAACTTTTGCAGCTCATTATACTTGAATTTTGCTGCCTTGTAAAAACTTCAAAGTTTGGATGAAGTTCAATATTATTTAATTACAAAATTTGTTGTTGAAGTTTGCAACGTCCATTGGCCAATATTACAGATATATAAAGGTCGATGCTGTATAATTAATTACTCTTTATCTTTCCTGTATCTTTTCTCATCTTTTTAAGCCCATCAGGATCTAAAGTATGGAGCTGTTAAATCCAAATGTTTTATCTTCTCCTTCTCGCAGTGGTGTCCCACTCAGTGTTCACTTCTATGATTTGGAAAGTGATATTATCCAAAGGATGTTTCTTTGAGTGAAGATGTCACTAAAAATATATATAGATAAATGTTAATGAATTTTATAATAATATAAAAGGTGGAAGGTAAACAAGTGTGTCTTTAAAGAATATTTAAATGTTTAATTCCATTAATTAGATGAGACATTTATAGGAATATTTTCTTTAAATATGTCAAATATTTATATTAAGATAGAAATATAATATTATTTGAATATAGAATATTTGAATTACACACTAGTTTTCAATACTATTGTCATGATTGTGTATGCAAAATTATAATATATAAAAATGGAACTTTGTACCATCAACAATAATCAGCAGTATTTAGCATTTTTTTTTTTTCAATTGACTGTGATCTAAACAAGATTGAATTGAGTGATTACGACTGGTGTTACTTTGATTTGAGATCCTCAGACAATTGTTGAATAAACAAACCAATTATTGATTTGATTTAAGTCATTATGATGGTTAAATAATTATATGTTCCACTAGATTGTAAATATTTATTTATCTCTTCAATGTATAAAATAAATAAAAACTAGATATTTTCATGATATTCCAAGTTACATTTTTTGTACCATCATGTGGAAATTAACTTCATATTACCAGATTACATGCTCATGCTGCTTTAAAAAAAACAGTACCAATCATACTAAAACAGTTCCAATCATAATCTTTTTTGTATAAATTTAAAATAGAATGTTACTCCAATATATATTAGGCATACATGGCAAACTTCACTTACCTGCTGTCATTAATCATCGATACTTTGTACAAATTCCATTTATCCTGAACCAAATATGTCACCAAATCCTCCGATGTTAATATAAATAATTCAAAATTTTACAATGTGGCCGGATCGACTTGGGGCCGCATTGGTTTGGGGCCGGAACGACCTGATACCATTGAATTAGTGACATATTATAAAAAATAAGAAGATGTGGTATTATTGCGACATATTGACAGTTATTTAAAACGAAAGAGAATATAGTTTTTAAATTTGTTACTTCAATAATATTGTGTAAAAAAAGCTGCATGATCTGACAACAAATCTGACATTTAAGGGTTATCATCTGATTATGTTATATGTATCTTTTTGTTTTATAGACATGTTTTAGAAAATCCACAGCCTTTCTTCTTGTACTCTTATATTTGACATTTGTGTACTTAATAGATAGGGTAAACCGGTATAACTGAATTCAGTGCTAGCAATGATTTCCCTAAAACATGTTATTGGTTAATTAAAGTAAGTAAAATATATTATGGTGTGCTCGACTTTAGTGACTCAGCACATGGGTTTTGGGGGTTGTTAAGGTTGTTTAAGACTTTTTGTAAATTTTTTGATGAATGCTAGCATGGACAAACAAATGAGTAATCTATGTTTAAAATGCTATCACAAAAATCTTTGTAATAACAAAGAATAAGGTCTGTGTTTTTTCTGTAAAAATCTGGGCTTGATTTGCCACAAAATTCCAATTTTCTAATAAATGCAACGAAACAATAAACATTATTGCTGTTTACGTCATTTCCCTTTGTTATATGAACAAAATGGAACGTCTCCTGTGTTTGATATTTTTACCGCTTTGATATTATTGCACCTTGAAAGTTTCCTAATTTTATGCATTGGCCAATAGATTGGGTCATTTAAACCTTAATGGAGCGTCACCATACCCAAAACATGCATATTAAAGTTACCATAAGACTATTTATCTGCCATTAAAACCACATTATTTAAATGTGGGTTGGTGGCCTAGTGGATAAGACTGATGGGTACATTGCTGAACCTGACTCAGGGCGCTAAAATTGCAGTACATTAGTTTGGTGATTTTCACCCTCCCACGCACATCTCTGGAACCAAGCCCAGAGTTTAAGCTAGAATGGGTGCTTTGGGGGCCTTGGGTGGTCAAAGCGACTCCCCAACTTTGACCTGGAGATCAATCTGCAGATTTCTGTTCTGTTTGACTGTTCCTGCCGAGGAGCCTGGTTGTTCTCTCAGAGTTCTTTGGCTTCCTCCACCATAATAGTAGACTTCCACGTGTCCTAACAATTAGTTAGTGACACATCTCCATTAAGGTTCATGTGGACCCTTTGACTAAAATGGCTGCATTTTCACCTCAAAATTTACTCTGAGTACAGACATACCTTTGTATCTAGAAAAGTTTTAAGGCATAGCATGCCCTAGATAAATAAATTTCAAATATATTTTTTGTTTAGAAAACTAAAAACTTAAGAGGATTTTGCAGTGCACTTTTTTTCATTCCTCCAGAAGGTGCCAAAATAAACTAAGTTGGGAAAGAGGTTTGAGAACTTCCCCACAGGTAATAATTGAAGTGAACTGTATTGATTGACATGGACAATAGATACCTGACAATAATTGCTGATTTAAACTGTGTACCTGAATGGACCATATCAAGTGAAACTTAACTGTTTGTTAATTTTATCATCTTCTGCAGGGACGAAAAAAAGTGCACTGCAAAATCCAGTTAAGTTTTAAATTTTCTAAAACATACAATGCATTTGAATTTTATTTATCTAGGGCATGCTATGTCTTAAACTTTTCCAGATGTACAGGTTTGTCTGTACTCAGAGTAAATTTTGAGGTGAAAACGCAACCATTTTAGCCAAATGGTCCACATGAACCTTAATCCTAATAGGGAGTGTACACAGATTCCACTGTACCCCACAGTTTTCGAGGGTGCTCCAAATAAGGGAGGGATTTAAGTACATACATAACTCCGTGTTGAAGGCCATACTTTAACCTATAATGGTTTACTTTTACAATTTGTGACTTGGATGGAGAGTTGTCTCATTGGCACTCATACCACATTTTTTATCTATATAACACACAAATTCATGCAAAATATTGCATCACATTTTAAAACAACACCATAATTAAAAAGTAATTGTTGCATGGCATCTAAAAATTATTCGGGGACATATTTAAGTTAGTTGATTTTTAGAGATGTGAATCGAAGTTAAGCATGTGTGAAGTTTAAGTAATCTTCATTACAGAATCTGAGGTCCTAATTGGAGGTTGGTTTAACCCTTTTTTCTATGATTAAGTATTGGACTCAAAATAAAATTTGTGGAACATAGTAGATAAGGATACATTGTATATCTACAAAATATACACAGAATGGAAACATTGTCATGAGTTTCTTTAAATTCAAATGCCACCATATTGTTACATATTAAACAGTTAAAGGTAACTAATTGCATGCAGGCAACACACATTGTTCTTTTGATGAGTAGTAATAACATGTTAACCTAGAGTACCCTATTGAGACTGTATTTTAACAAATCAGTGTTTATACTATTTGAGGGGAAAGTGGTATGTAGGATGACTTGCAGATGTGCTTGTGGAGTAGGATGTGTGGTCAGGACTTTCCACTCAGCATTAGTTCTTGGTGTACCCATATCATTGCTATTTATAGATTCTGGTTTGTATGATATTTAAGAACTAGTTGTACAAGCTCAGCATAATTTAATCCTCCATAATATCTGTTTTCTGTGTAAAAAAGAAGATTAAATAACGTGTCAAGAAGCCTTAGTTATTTCACATACATTTTGATAACACATGATTTCATAATGAAAAATGAGGACATTCTAACATAGCATTTAGTTTACAAGCAGACTTGGACTATGAACTATTAACGCACTCAGATCTTATGTTGTGTTTATTTGTTTTGTAACAATCGGAAGATTGGAATACATGTATTGTCAAATTTTATCTCTATGGCCTTCATTTCGTAACTTATGTAAAAAGATTGTTCATCTTAATTTGTAAAATGAATAAATTTAAAAGTTTCACACATGAAGTATCTAATTATATATATAAAAAAATGTTTCTAGCACTGAAGGAAGCATTGGTAGAATTTAAAGATCCAGTTTATGGTATTGGCTATGCTTTACTTCTGACACTGTCTCTAGTTTTATACTACCTGGCATGCTTTGTAGAACCTGGCTATGTACAGAAACAAAAGGTATTTACTAATTGCTACAAATGTATTCAAAGATTACTGTTATATCATCTTACATAGATTTGTATATGATTTCAATAATATAAAATGTGAAAATGAGGATAATCCTGCTGTATAAAGAAGGAGGAAGTATACTAGGACATTTTTACCACACTTTTCTGGATACTATATTTTACTGTAAGTTTTTTTTATATATTTATATATACATTTTTTATCAAGCCTATTAGACTTGCTGTTCTGTTTGAATTTTGTGAAGCTATGTCACCCTTAAAAGCCAGTTTGATGAATAGGTTAATTATCTCTAACCTTTAAAATTTCTAACCTCTTCTGCATATCAAGCAATTCAAGCCATTATCTCGTGTTTACAGTTTTACTAAATATTAAGTTTTTGTATTGCCTGCAACAAAAGTCACAGAATGCCAGACATAGGGATGCTAATCCAGCAGCAGCTGTGGTGGAGCAGCCATGAACTATTTGTTTAAAGCTTTATATTTCAGAAGGTAGCAGGCCTGAGTGCTTCAGGAATAAAACCCTGAATTCATAGCCCCATTGCTTTCTATGTCATGTACATGCATGTTAATTCTGCAATTTCAAGTATCCATAGCTTTTTAAACGACTGCAAAATTTTTGTGTTCGTATAATGTTATCACGTTGTCTGCATCTTCGTCGTCCGAAGACATTTGGTTTCCAAACAATAACTTGTATATATGTTTATAAGGTTGGGATTGATTTTGGGGGTTATTGTCCTAACTGTTTAGGAATTAAGGACCAAAAACAAGCATTTTTCTTGTTTCAGGACAATAAATTGTGTATAAGTGTATGGATCTCTATGAAAATGTACCACAAGGTTCCATACCTCAAAAAGAAGGTTGGGAATGATTTTGGGGGTTATGGTCCTAACCCTTTGGGAAAAAGGTGCCAAAAACAATACTTTTTTAGCCCACCTGGCCCAATGGGCCATGTGATCTTTTCTCATCACTAGCGTTTGTCGTCTGTTGTCTGGCGTCCATTGTCGTCCGTTAACTTTTACAAAAATCTTCTCCTCTAAAACTACTGAGCCAAATTTTACCAAACTTGGCTACAATCATTATTGGGGTATCTAGTTTAAAAAATGTGTCCGATGATCCTGCCTACCAACCAACATGGCTGCCATGTCTAAAAATAGAACATAGGGGTAAAATGCAGGTTTTGGATTATATCTCTGAAACTAAAGCATTTAGAGCAAATCTGACGGGGTTCAGGTTTAGATCTATCTGCACTGAAATTTCCAGACAAATCAGACAACCCGTTGTTGGGTAGCTGCCCCTAAATTGATAGTTTTAAGGAAATTTTGAAGTTTTTGGTTATTATCTTGAATATTATTATAGATAGAGATGAACTGTAAACAGCAATAATGTTCAGCAAACTAAGATCTACAAATAAGTTAAACATGACCAAAATTGTTAATTGACTCCTCAAGAAGTTATTGCCCTTTATAGTCAATTTTTAACTATTTTTTGTAAATTTTTGTAATCTTTTACAAAAATCTTCTCCTCTGAAACTACAGAGACAAATTTAACCAAACTTGGCCACAATTATCATTAGGGCATCTAGTTTCAAAAATGTGTCCGATGACCCGCCTGGCAACCAACATGGCCGCCATGGCTAAAAATAGAACATAGGGGTAAAATGCAGTTTTTGGCTTATATCTCTGAAACTAAAGCATTAAGAGCAAATCTGACAATGCATAAAACTGTTCATCTGCTCAGAAATTTTCAGACAAATCAGACAACCCGTTGTTGGGTTGCTGCCCTGAATTGGTAATTTTTAGGAAATTTTGCAGTTTTTGGTTATTTTGAATATTATTTTAGATAGAGATAAACTGTAAACAGCAATAATGTTCAGCAAAGTAAGATCTACAAATAAGTCAACATGACCAAAATTGTCAGTTGACCACTTAAGAAGTTATTGCCCTTTAAAGTCAATTTTTAACAATTTTTCTTAAATTTTTGTAATCTTTTACAAAAATCTTCTTCACTTAATCTACTGGGCCAAACAGAATTAAACTTAGCCACAATTTTCAATAGGGTATCTTGATTGAAAAATGTATCAGATGACCCTGCCATCCAACCAACATGGCTACCATGGCTAAAAAAAGAACATAGGGGTTTACTATAGAAGGCTATGGGAAAATTGTAAAAAAACAATATTAAATGGTTACAACTTGAAAACTAATTTAAATAATGATAAGGGGTCTTCAGTAACTATTGTAAGACTACAATGGGATGACCTGCTTTTAATTTAACTACTGGGCCAAATTAAACCAAACTTGGCCTCAATCATTATTAGGGTATCTCATACTATTTATTATGATTTTAACCTTATTTTACATGATTTCCAAAACCACAGTAGATACAGGTGAGCCACACAGGCTCTTGAGAGCCTCTAGTTTAATACTTTGTATAAATTGCTTATTTCTTGAGCAATTTTAATGGGGGTTTAATTTAAAGTCTTGAACCGTGTGCTTAGATTTTGGATTTTGGATCCTATTTTAAATTGGTCAAGATTGAGGTTCATAGGGTCCAGAAGTAAACTTATTTTGATTTTAATAAAAATTAAATTCAAGGTTTTTTTTATATGCTGAATAAAAATGCGTTTAGATTTTTGATTTTTTGGCCCAGTTTTCAAGTTGGTCCAAAATTAAACTTTTTTGATTTCAAGAAAAACTGAATTTATGGGGTTCTTTGGTATGCTGGATCTAACTGTATTTAGATTTTGGCTTTTTGGCTCCGTTTCAAATTGGTCCACATTGAGGTCCAAAGAGTCCTAAATTAAACTTTGTTTGATTTCATCAAAAATTGAATTCTTGGGGTTCTTTGATATGCTGAATCTACCCATGTATTTAGATTTTGGATATTGGACCATAATACATGTAGGTAAAAGTCCAATTTCAAATTTTTAAGTTCTTAGACAGCATTCTTTCTGTGTCAGAAACCTATGCTATGTCAAATATTTAATCACAATCCAAATTCATAGCTGTATTGCACAATAAATAGAAATCGTTAGTAGATTCATAGTTAAAAATAGATAAAGAATCATATTCTAATTTTAGAAATTATGTATAAATACAGTTTGAAATTTACTGTTCATTACTAGATATTTTAAAAAGTAGTTAGAGGTAAGTTTTATAGATTTTTGTTAAGGACATTTTATTAATGATGAAGGATATTTTTGATATGTTTTTTTTCATTTTTTTAGGAACTTCGTGGTAGGTTTGTTTGTTATTCTGTATGAATTTATTTTCAGAATGCTACATAAATATTTTTTTGATTCCCCACGCTGTAGGCGATGGGGCATTAAGTGTTACCTTTGACCGTTTGTCTTTACATCTTTCCATTTTTCCGTCCTTCAGTCCATCCCATTTGAGCGAGTGCATTCGTGTCCTCAGACACATTCTTCTTTTATTTTATGAAGCGAACCCATTTAAAACCTTAGCTAATATTTTCCATTATTAAATAGAAAAATTAAATTCTTGGTGTACTTGGATAGTATGGTCCATTAATGAATAAATAAATTAAATTCTTGGTGTACTTGGATATGCGGAATCTAACCATGTATTTAGACTTTGGATATTGGACCATAATAGGTTAAATCCAATATCAAATTTTTCAGTTCTTTGACCACATTCATTCTGTGACAGAAACCTATGCTGTGTCAAAATTTAATCACAATCCAAATTCAGAGCTGTATCAAGCTTGAAAGTAGTATCCAGTCTTGCCCCAACTGTTCAGGGTTCCACCTCTGTCGTTGTATCTAGCTGCACCCTGCGGAGCATTTTTTTTGGTCTTAAGTTCAAATAAAGTGGCAGTCATTTCATGTCAAAACTATACCTTATCCTGACTTGTGCTGAAATATTCAACATACCTTTAACTGCATATTAGAATGCACTGATTCCAGGAAGTTTAGTTGTACAAAACCAGGTACTTCTGATCTGAACAACATGGCAAAAATACCCCTTATTCAAATTTAATATATTTTTATGCCCTCTCCGTAAGTTTTTACCCTTGTCCATCTGTACGTACGTCCCAAAATTTTTAGTTTCCGTTCTCTAACTTTAGTTTGCCTCAACCAAATGTTATGAAACTTACACACAACGCTTATTACCACAAAACACAGATCAAGTTTGAATTTTGGTGGCATCACTTTTACCGTTCTAGAGTTATGCCCCTTTACAAATGGAAAATTGCTGAATTTATCGTTTCCATTCTCTAACTTTAGTTTGCCTCAACCAAATGTTATGAAACTTATACACAATGCTTATTACCACAAAACACAGATCAAGTTTGAATTTTGATGGTGTCACTTTTACTGTTCTAGAATTATGCCACTTTACAAATGGAAAATTGAACGATTTATTGTTCCGTTCTCTAACTTTAGTTTGCCTCAACCAAATGTTATGAAACTTAAACACAATGCTTATTACCACAAAACACAGATCAAGTTTGAATTTTGGTGGCGTCACTTTAACGGTTCTAGAGTTATGCTCCTTTAGAAATGGAAAAATTTCAAATTTTAAATTTTTTTTCTAAATATCAAGTAATTTTTATACGACCGGAAAAAAATTTTTGTGGTCGTATATTGGTATGACGTTGGCGTCGGCGTCGTCGTCGTCAACGTTGTCATCCGGCGTCGTCCGAAGACACATTGGTTTTCGCACTCTAACTTTAGTTTAAGTGAATGGATCTCTATGAAATTTTACCACAAGGTTCAATACCACATAAGAAAGGTTGGGATTGATTTTGGGGGTTATGGTACCAACAGTAAATGAATTAGGGGCCAAAAAGGGGCCAAAAATAAGCATTTTTGTAACTTCGAGGCATAACTTGTGTGTTAGTGTATGGATCTCTCTGACATTGTACCACAAGGTTCCATATCACATAAGGAATGCTGGGATTGATTTTGGGGGTAATTGCCTCAAAATTTTAGGAATTAGGGGCCAAAAAAGGGGCAAAAAAACAGCATTT